AAATAAAAAAAAAAAAAACTCTCTAAAACTGATTTGGTTGTTTGCAAGAAAAGAGATTTGAAGAAACTTAAGAAAATTCTTTAGTTTATGTAACTGTATATATATATTTACACCCTTGATGGCATATCCATGGATTAAAAGACGGGCTTCATATTTTTTTGAGGAAAATTCAGATAATTTTTAATTGAGTTGAACAAGAAAACCTCCCATATGCTGATCAAAAAAAAGAAAAACCTGCCATATGGAGACATTGAGGAGTATTTGAAAAACACAAGTGAGAGAAGAAAGGACAACAGATCATCAGAAAACTTCTCAAATATATGCTTTTTATTATGTCTAAACCCAAGTCACAGATTCAAGAAAAACGGAAAGAAAACAAAGGGAAAGATCAGTACACATATATTTGACCATGAAAACTTTCTGAAGCTTTCGAAAATTGCAAACTATCACAATCAATTGAAGAAAGTGAAGCTATATAGATCTTTTTCAATCAATATTTGGACTGATCTTTCAACTCGTTCTTAATGAAAAACTCAAACCCTATCAAACCAGCTAAGTTCATAAAAAAAAGTACAGATCTTGAGATGCATAAAACATGAAAGTGTTGAAAAAACTCATACAACCCAAATACATATACATATCTGGGTTTTTGATGCACATGTGCATATGCAAAAACAAGGAAATATATGATAAGAGGAAGAAAGACACAAAAAAGGTATTCATAGATAGAGAGAGAAAAGGATATATACCTAGAGCTGCTGCAGAACTCATAGAGCTTTCCACGGTTAGAGAAGATGATGAGAGCAACCTCAGCTTCACAGAGGACTGAGAGCTCATAGGCTTTCTTGAGCAACCCATTTCTTCTCTTGGCAAATGTAACCTGCCTGTTAATTTTGTTCTCTATTCTCTTCAGCTCAACTCTGCCTCTCCCCATTTTTCTCTCCCTTTCCTTAAAACACTAAAACACACCGGAAATTTTCCCTCTTTCTAGTCTTGGTTAGGGGTTGTACAACCTTTTCAAGGGCTTTGGTCTTTTAGGGCAGTATTAAAAAGGGATATGAGTAAGGAGACTCAAAGGGGAAATGGAGATAAGGAAACCCTGGACACATGATGCTAAGCCATATGATGCCTTTTTTTTTTTTTTGGTAAAATGCGAATTTATTACTAAAAATACCAAAATTTACACATAACATAGTTCTTTTGGTTAAGATTGCCATTAATATTGGTACAAAGAATTAAACAAATTCTAAATATATTACAATGTGTTCAAACTTTACCGGATATAAAATTTCCAAAATTTATTTTTTATCACAATATGATGCATTTGTGCTTTCTTTTTCTTTTTCTTTTTTTAAATCTTTACCTTAGTAGCAATACCCTTGAGATATAGCAAAATTACACTCAATCTAAAGAATCAACTCAACGCACCAACTATGGATAGGGTTATGAATCTAAGATATTAATATGAAATTTAATATATGACCCAAACCAAATTTATTCAGACTCAAATAGAGTGGGTCAAGTCAATTGGAAATGACCTAATTGAAATTAATTAATTTTTTAAAATTGAAATTTTGATACTTTTAATTTTATTTTTAAGTATAAAATAAAACTAAATATTATAAAATAATTATTATTTATTAAATTATTAAAACTAATATTAATTTAATAGATTTTTTTCCTAAACAATTAATTAATATTAAAATCTTTTAAAGAAAAATAGAGAAAGCATAAAAAAATTTTAATTTTAATTTTAATTTAATCTTTTAAAAATTTGAGTTTATTTGACTCAATTTGACACGCATATAGATATTTTATAAATTTATATGTTTTAACTTAAAATTCAAAAGGGCTCAATCTAACCCAGAATCCAAAGTGGTTTAATCAAAACTCAGCCAATCGTTCCTATTTGTCAGATCTAATACTTTTTTCTTTTTTTTTTTGAAAATAGGTAATGGACTAATACCCTTGTTGTGTTGACTCTGTTATTGTAAATATTTCTGGGTTTTTCTATGTTTTTACATGGTGAATGTCCTTTTTTTTTTATTATTATTTTTTTTAACAATGTATGCTCTATTGCCCGAAGGGTAATATAGTGAGACCAAACTCCCACACCCTCACGTACCCACACAGACGTACAACCAAATGACACCTCAACCAACCGCTCAAATAATTCTAACGGTTAATATATATTAGACCTGATTTATTATTATTTTTTCAAAAAGCGAAAAAACTTTATTATTTTATTGAGTATAAGGGGTCAAGCTTGGATACAATTTTAACAATCACTACACAAAGTTTAACTTAGATAACCTGAGATTTCTTCAATTCAAAACACCCCTGTGAGCAAATTACATATAAAATATATCCCTTATGTTGAATTGAATGACTAAAGATCCCCTCCATTTCTCTTAGCTCTACTCCCTTTATTTGAATAAGTTAAAATGAATGAAAAAAAATTAAAAACTAAAAATAAAATAAGAGAAGCTCTCTCTCTATCTCTCCTTTCCTCTATTTTTTTGTCCTTATTTTTATTTTTGGCAACCAACATTATATATACTAAACCAATAGGATTTTTGGTTTTTGTTTTTATTGATGAAATACTATATATAGTAATAGTTGCAAAAAATTAAAAAAAATGATTAACAAAGTGTAATTAAGCAAATCCACAATTAAAATAATTATCAACACTAACATGGTTTTTGTGTTATCACAACATAGTAAAAGTTGTAGTCATAGAATTATACAACACAACAATTTCAAACATATCATAAGTTTAGCTTTCTTGCCCAATCAATGAGAAGTCTACATAAAAATTAAAAAAATTTATGAGAAATTATCTTGTTATTACTTTTTTAGCATCCTTAAAGAATCTTAAGTAGGTGTTGGTTCCAGACACAAACAAAAATCTAATTGCTTGTACTCCTTTTAATAAGATTTTTTTGATAAAAAACTTGAAGCAAAAATATTTTGAATTGCAAAACAGTAATTAGTATATTTTTTTACCAATAAAGATAAAATTTATTTAATAGACTACAAAGGATATTCAACCTAGATACAACAAAAATCATAATAATCAACTAAGTAATAGAATAACTACACATTCTCTTAAGATAGACTCAAAACACAAAGTCACACAACATTTTCTTTTTTCTTTTTCTTTTTTAATTTGATAACTAAAATAAATATGTTTTTCATTACTAATAGAATAAACATATATATGGAATATTAAATATATTTTTCACCCCAAAAAAATGTAATTCTACAAGTTTGAGTCTGTGATTGAGTGACTCTGTGTTAATGTGTTATTACTTCATATTGTCCACTGGACAGGACAACAACCTTAAAAGTGGACAACTTCAACTTTACACGTGTCGAGTTGTTACTAGAGGAGCACTTTGAAGCTGCTATTTATCCCGGTTCCAGTCAAGCTGTATCTTTTTCCGGTCGTTCTTTATTTAGAGGTAACGGACTGTTTGGGAACCTTCCCTCCCAAAAACTGTTTGTCTCAGAGAAGATGTTTCCCACCTGGTCCAAAAAAATTGCTGTTTGATTGCTTACAAGACTCAACAAATTATATTTACTGTATCTGGTAAATTTCATACTAATTAATTATTTCTCTTTCACAAATCATTCAAATTTCATTTTTTTTATATGTAACAACTAAAATTAAACACTAAACTTGTAACTAAAGACAGAGACAACTCTGCCATTAGACTATATATATGGCTGATGGAATTATTCATATTTCTTAGGCAAAAGGTGCAGATTACCCTCCTAAAATTGTTGTATTGAAGCGAATCCCTATTCAAAAAAAATGTTGAAGCAATTTATCATCTTAAATTTTTATTTTTAAAAAATTGATCTAAATTCAGCAGTTATCGTGAATTTTTTTTTTTGGTTAGAGTTCAAAAGCAATTGTTTAATGGAGTTTAATGGAAATTATTAAATTTAAGTTGATTTCTTGAAAATAGAAGTTTGAGTTGACAAATTATGTCAACAATTTTTTTTTTTAGATAATAATTTACTTCAACACAATAATTTTAGGGGTAATCTGTACATTTGACCTATTTCCTAACTCCCTTAAATATTTACTACTACAATTTATGTATAGATATTTATATGAATAACTAATAATTTGTGCATTTGGCCTATTTCCTAACTCCCTTAAGTTTTTACTACTACAATTTATATATAGATATTATATGAATAACTAAGAATTGAAACACACAATTATATCGCTTATATAATTTTTTAGATTGTTTTTATTGTTCTCTTTTATTTTGACTGAATTAATAACTAATTAACAAGTCACAGAACCAATAAATAACACTAGTGGTACCTAATAATTTAATAAACTCTTGTACATTTTTTTCGTCCAGTTGTTGTGCCGGTTTGTCTTGTTGTAGATTGAGGGCTCCTTCCCTTGCACATGCGTCACCCTGCCACCATGCAGGTTTCTTACTCCTGGTGACATCGTGGGTCTGTTCGTGGGTGCGATCCGTCCTTGGCCTGAAGCATGTATATTCTTCTTCTCTTGAAATATATTTTTTCCCTCTCTCCTCTCTTGAAAATATATGTATGTATGCATGAGTCATTCATCTAACTTGAAAAAGGAGACCCATATATATTGTCTTGAACATTAGTTTTAGGAAAATGATGTGTGCATACCCAGATCCAACACCTGGGTATGCACACATCATATAAAAAAAAATACCTATCACCCGTTGTTTTTTTTTTTTTTTGTGAGGGGTGCACATTTGGGTGTTAGATCCGGGTGTGCATCAATCATTGTCCTTAGTTTTACGTTCAATTTTAGCCATTCATCTCTTTTTATTTTTTAAGTAAAAAGAAGAGTTATCTTTTTTTAAAAAAATTAGTAAAAAGTAGATAAATTTTAATCATTTATAACAAAAAAAATAATTATAATTTTGTGTGAGACGTACATGTTTAAAACTTATATATAAGATGATCCATTTTCTCTCTCTCTACATATATATAGATAGATAGTGGTTGTTAAGTGCCACCTCAAAAGATAAGAATTTAACGATGTCTCAAAATTATATATATTGACTTGATAAATAATTAGGAGAAAGGGCTAAAAATAGATCTCCTCATTCTCTTTATCTATATTGAAATAAAGTAATTTTAGATATTTAATTTCACTCTTAATTTTTAAGAGATAAAATAATAACCACTCTCTCATCTATATTGTAGATAGCCTCTTGCCTTCTAAAAAATTTAAAGCCCTAATTCTTAGAACACCACATTTTAGTCAATATTTGATCTAGAGAATATTATTTTACAATATGTTCTATACATACTGTATTATTTTAACTATAATAAAAAAAAAATCTTTATCTATCAATAATTATATAAAGTACAATTTATGCAACACAAACTACATTCCACCTTCTATTTGCTCTATTACTCACACAGCACTAGTGAAGGGGGAAAAAAAAAAAAACAAAAATAAAAAGCAGTGTTGTCAAATAATTCAATCACAGTGAAAGGTTATGTGTCAGATCCTGAGTGGATGGTGTATTCCCAGGTCAAAGGTGAATTAGGGATAGGAGGGAAGACCGACTGAATTAACGGCTCATAAATGCTCTGCCAAAAAAACCATCAACGTGGGATATCAGTTTTTCTGACCAATAAAAAAAGGGGCAATTGTACATATAATATAATGCACATTCGACACGTGTTTACGAAGCAAGGTTTTACCTTGAGTGGAAATACAGTTTTAACGGTGCGCTCCTTTAACCAAAAGTCAGTTATACTCCTCCAATGAAGGAGAATCGTTAAACTAAAGGTGGTGTTTGGTTCGCAGGGTTAATTAACTTAATTTCCTAAAAGGAATTCACAAGAAGTCATATTTTTGAAGCTATGATTTGGGCCAAAAAAAAAAAAAATGATTTTATCATTTTATGGGTAAAAGACTAAGAGTACAGTACAGCCAATTATAACTGACTATATGTGAAAGTAAATTAAAAAAAAAAATCTTAGAAGAAATAAAAATAATTAGTACATATTTATTTTAATATATATTTTTTATATTTGTTTTGATTTAATTATTAAAATATAATATAAATATAATTAATTTAACTGATTTTTATACATCTTTTATGTATAGTTATATCCTTAACTTTAATTATTTTTAATTTTAAACGAAACAATAATAATTTTTAATAAGTATATTAAATCGAAATATGCAACGTACACAATTTTTAAAAAAAATTCCAATATAAGTAGTCAATTATTTTGAGCTACTAGTTGACTATATAAAAAAAACTCTAACTGAACCGTTTACAGAAGAAGAAGTTAGAGCAGCGGTATGGAATTGTGATAGCACCAAAGCACCAGGACCGGATGGGTTTACTTTCGGCTTCTTAAAGAAAGAATGGGAGGTGATTAAAATTGACATCATGGAGTTTCTCACGGATTTCCACAGAAATGGAAAATTGGTAAGGGGTTCTAATGCCTCCTTTCTTGTTTTAATACCAAAGCGAGAAAACCCCCAAGGTATCGAGGAGTATAGACCCATCTCATTAATTGGTTGCACTTATAAAATTCTTGCTAAATTGCTAGCAAATAGACTCAGCAGAGTATTGAATGGGATTATAGGGGAAGATCAATCTGCATTTATCGAGGGGAGACAATTGGTAGATGGAGTGCTTGTTGCAAATGAGGCCATTGATTGGGTGAGGAAAAGAAAATCCCGGTGCTTTATTTTCAAAATTGATTTCGAAAAGGCATATGATAATGTGAGCTGGCCTTTTCTCGATTATATGATGGAAAGAATGGGCTTCAATACAGTATGGAGGGGGTGGATTTCTGAATGTTTAAAGTCTAATACGGTGTCTGTTTTAGTTAACGGAAGTACCACAAAAGAGTTCGCGATGTCAAGAGGGCTCCGACAAGGTGATCCATTATCTCCATTTCTATTCCTAATGGTGGCAGAGGCTCTTAATGGACTAACTTCAGCAGTAGTCTCAAAGGGCTTTTTTCGTGGAGCAAAGATAGGAGATGGGGAGCTTGAAATTAGCCATCTACAGTTTGCAGATGACACACTTTTTATGGGTGAGGCAACTGAAAACAACATTTGGTCAGTCAAATGT